CCCCAAAACCCCAAAACCCCACTATGCTTATTTACTCAATGTGCAAGGAGTAATTATAAAAGTTAAAATTAATAAATTCAAAGTGTGAGAGTACATATCATCATAATCTCTTCTGGTCCCGAATTAGACTGAGTTGGTCAAACTTTATTCTATTTATCTTTTTTAGATAATAGGCTCTCAGTTTTTTCTGAGTTATTAGTATCATTTAAGTTTTGAGAGTCATCATTTTCTTCACTTTCATGTAAGAAAACGCAATATTTCCTACCCTGATCTTTATTCATAAGTCCAATCTGCTCAAATACACTGTCTCCTAATGCACATAAAATGAAAGCAGCACCACCACAAGGAATAAAAGTTTTGTTGAAGTACAAGATCCAAATACTTTAATACCAATCAACAAGCTCAAGCTGCTTAACAAAGATCCAAACTATTATGAATGAAAGTCCTAGTCTAGGAATAGATTGTTTTAGCCCTGTTTCATTTGATGCATTTGAAGTAAAGTATTTATGATGAACTAAAACACCAAGATATCCGAAAAACCCAAGAGCAGTTTTTCCAATATAGGGGAATGCTGCTTCATGGAAGATTTTAGCAGTGATCTCACCTGGGCATTTGTTTAATAAGTTAGCTCTATATTTTGGATCAATCTCAGTAAAATTAGCCACATAATAGTAAACAAGAAAGGTGATTTACGATAAGATGAACATGGTCACAGCTTTTAATACAAGGCTTTTATAATTTGTTTAAAGTGGGCTTTTAGTTTGAAGCTTTGCTAGATGCTTGTAGAGTCTAGGCTTAACACAAAAATGTAAAAATAGCGCAATTTCAACTCCAATTGTAGACCCAAAAATGACTTGGTTAATTGAGTGAGCAGCTAGATATACTCTAGAGCACATAACTCCAAATATACCGATGAAAGTTAACAGAGAACCGATTCCATAGAAAATTGGATGCATTCTATTTCTCTTATCATAAACGAAATCCAAATATACACTCATAACCATAGTACCCACTCTAATAGAGGTGGCTGAAGGACAACCCCATTACCCTGAGCATGAGGTTGGGATTATGTCATCATGATATTGATATGGTCTTGGGAATCTAACTATCATCTTCATAATACATAAGAAGAACATCATTGTTGAGATGATCATTGTGTAGTGAAGGGCAAGAGCTCTAGATTTAAACACATAAATGAGAAGTAGTAATCCATATAGTGTATGGGAATCACCTAATTTCGTGATATATTTGAAGAACCAAAACCAAAATGGTTCTCTTCCCTCCTCCTACAGTTTTAAGATGATTTCAATAGTAAGTTTATAGAGATAGTCTCTTGAAATAATGTTTAAAATAGTGATGATTATGATTGATCCTAAAAAGTAGCCATATTCTTTGAAAGTTATTCCTAAGTATTTCTTCTCAACAAACTGAGTCATCCTGCCTTCTTAAGGATCGTTTGGTCCCGAGGGTAATTTACGATATTTATCAGTCATAATACTATCTTTAATTTATACTTTAAAATTTAGCTGTTAAATTACTTACTTGTTATATATATTATTTCTTGGGGTTTTGGGGTTTTGGGGTTTTGGGGTTTTGGGGTTTTGGGG